CAACATTAATTTCCTTTTTCAGACCATATCCTTCAAAAAGATCTTGGTCAGAGCATCATTAATTGCAGTGTAATTTTCAATGATGAACCTGATTTTTTGGAATGTTATCCAGTTTTAACCATTTCTCAGTTGTTATATTTTCAACATTTAAAAACAATACCAAGAAAGTGATAAGGAAAGTAAAGACACTACTCAAAAAATTAAAGGAACACTTTTTAATCAGAGTATAGCATCAAGTCAATTAAAGTAGGAAATTGATCTGGTCAGTTGAGTAGCAGAGGGGGTTGTTAATCAGTCTCAGCTGCTTTGGTGTTATTGAAATTAACAACAGGTGCACTAGAGGGGCAGCAATGAGACGACCCCCAAAACAGGAATGGTTTAACAGGTGGAGGCCACTGACATTTTTCCCTCCTCATCTTTTCTGAATGTTTTTTCAGTAGTTTTGCATTTGCCTACAGTCAGTGTCACTACTGGTAGCATGAGATGATACCTGGACCCTACAGAGGTTGCACAGCACAGTCCAACTCCTCCAGGATGGTGCATCAATACGTGCCATTGCCAGAAGGTTTGCTGTGTCTCCCAGCACAGTCTCAAGGGCATGGAGGAGATTCCAGGAGACAGGCAGTCACTCTAGAAAAGCTGGACATGGCCTTAGAAGGTCCTTATCCCATCAGCAGGACCAGTATCTGCTCCTTTGTGCAAGGAGGAACAGGATGAGCACTGCCAGAGCCCTACAAAATGACCTCCAGCAGGCCACTAGTGTGAATGTCTCTGACCATACAATCAGAAACAGACTTCATGAGGGTGGCCTGAGGGCCCAACGTTCTCTAGTGGGCCCTGTTTTTACTGCCTGGCACCGTGGAGCTTGAATGGCATTTGCCATAGAATACCAGAATTTGCAGGTCCGCCACTGGCACGCTGTGCTTTTTACAGATGAGAACAGTTTCATCCAGAGCACATGTGACAGACGTGAAAGGGTCTGGAAAAGCCGTGGAGAACATTATGCTGCCTGTAACATTGTTCAGCATGACCGGTTTGGCGGTGGGTCAGTGATGGTCTGGGGAGGCATATCCATGGAGGGACACACAGAACTCTACAGACGAGACAATGGCACCTTGACTACCATTAGGTATCTGGACCCTATGCTGTCAGACCACATGCTCGTGCAGTGGCTCCTGGGTTCCTCCTGGTACGCAACAATTCCCGGACTCATGTAGTGAGAGTACGCAGGCAGTCCCTGGAGGATGAAGGAATTGATACCATTGACTGGCCCCCACACTCCCCTGACCTAAATCCAAGAGAACACCTCTGGGACATTATGTTTCGGTCCATCCAATGCCGCCAGGTTCCACCGCAGACTGTCCAGGAGCTCAGTGATGCCCTGGTCCAGATCTGGGAGGAGATCGCCCAGGACACCATCCGTCATCTCATTAGGAGGATGCCTCGACGTTGTTAGGCATGCATACAAGCGTGTGGGAGCCATACAAACTACTGAGTACGATTTTGAGTTACTGCAATGAAATTTCAGCAAAAAGGACTAGCCTATTTTTTCACTTTGATTTTCGGTCTTTGAATTCAGCTCTCTGTGGGTTTATAATTTTCATTTACATCAAACAATGTGGCATCCTTTTGTTCCTAATACATTACCCAGTCCATTTCAGCATAGATATCCAGCATATTTTTTTCCCCATTGAGATCTGAACTTTCCAAGTGTTCCTTTAATTTTTTTGAGCAGTGTATATTTGATGAGGTTAAGTTAAAAAAATTTTAAGCATATGCCCATGGAAAAAATTAAGAGATCCATCCATCCATCCATTATCTACCGCTTGTCCGGGGTTCGGGTCACGGGGGTAGCAGCTTCAGGAGAGATACTCAGACCTCCCTCTCCCCAGCTACCTCTACCAGCTCCTCGGGGAGGACGCCGAGGCGTTCCCAGGCCAGCCGAGAGATATAATCCCTCCAGCGAGTCCTGGGCCTGCCCCGGGGCCTCCTCCCTGTAGGACATGCACGGAAAACCTCTCCGGGTAGCCGCCCAGGAGGCATCCGAACCAGATGTCCAAACCACCTCAACTGGCTCCTTTTGACGTAGAGAAGCAGCGGTTCTACTCTGAGACCCTCCCGGATATCCGAACTTCTCACCCTATCCCTAAGGGAGAGCCCAGACACCCTGCGGAAAAACCTCATTTCGGCCACCTGTATTCACAATCTCATTCTTTCGGTCATTACCTATAGCTCATGACCATAGGTGACGGTAGGGACGAATATGGACCAATAGATGGAGAGCTTTGATTTCCGGCCCAGTTCTTTCTTAGCCACGACGAACCGGTTAAGCACCTGCAAAACTGTAGACGCTGCTCCAATTTGTCTGTCCAGCTCCCGATCTCGCCTACCCTCACTCGTGAACAAGACCCCGAGATACTTGAACTCCCTGACTTGAGGAAGTACCTCTCCCCTGACCTGAAGAGGGCAATCCACCTGTTTCCGGCTGAGAACCATGGTCTTGGACTTGGAGGTGCTAATCCTCATCCCCGCCGCTTCGCACTCGGCTGCGAACCGCCCCAGAGCACACTGGAGATCCCCAGCAGATGAAGCCAACAGGACGACATCATCCGCAAAAAGCAGCGAGGCAATCCTGAGGCCACCAAACTGGACACCTCAACACCCTGGCTACACCTAGAAATCCTGTCCATAAATATTATAAACAGGACCGATTACAAAGGGAAGCCCTGGCGGAGCCCAACCTGCACTGGGAACACGTCCAACTTATTACCGGCAATGCGGACCAAGCTTCTGCTCCATTCATACAGGGACCGAATCGCCCACAACCCCATACTCCCAAAGCACCCCCCACAGAGCACCTCGGGGAACCCGGTCGTAAGCCTTTTCCAAAT